TTTATACAGAGTTGATTTTATACAAAATGTACTCTTTTGGCTAATCTCCTTAGCAAGAAAGATGCAAAGAAAGGGTGTGGGAAGACACCTTGCACTTCCGGCTATAGTAGTACTTATTCACATGACCGAGAACATTTCCAGAAGTATGCTAGAAAGACAAGAAAAGACTCAGATCCATGGGCAATGCATGTATGTCAAAATTGGGTAGCAGAGCATAGCATGAGCAGCCTGAGACTTGGGAAGACCTTGAAAAAACACACCCATGTCAGTAGCAGCAGATGGGTGCTGGAAAGATGACTCCAAGAGTGTGGATGCTCTCAGAGGACCCAAGTTCAGTTCTCAACACACACATCGGGGGATTACAGCTGTCAAAAATCCAGCTCCAGAGGATCAGACACCCTCTTCTGGACTCTTAGAGCTCTGCACTATTGTGTATGTGTGTGTGCGCACACACAACACACACACACACACACACAGAGTGAAAATAGTAAAAATCTCTACAGAGCAGCAATATCAGAGGGGAAAAACTTGTTAAGTCCCAAGATAGAGGACTGTGAGAGAATTAAGCAAAAAAAGCATTGTTACTCAAGAAGATTATACCTTGAAGTGGATTCTTGATGTGACATTGGGTTTTAATGAGGAACAAGAAAAGGATCCAAGGAAATATTGGGCATATGCTAATAATGAAGCAGTAGTTCCACAGGATTGGGGTATGAACAGAATATAGGGACTACACTGGAATAAGGAAATAGTTCAAAAGATTGGAAATGCAGTAACACAGTGATCCTTGACCTTTTTATCATCTGTCTGCTTGAGCTACTGTACTCCAGTCTCCAATATATTAAGTACATGATTTATTGCATGTTGATGTTCTAAGTTTATTTGTGTCATAAGAGATCCATAAAATAGATATTTGAGAAAGCCAAGATAAAAATGTCATTAGATATGCTAGTATTTTCTTTCCACAATCCAGCCAGATGCTTGGCTGATACCTGGGCTCATGTGCATGCCAAAGGCTTCCACTTCCATATAGCTGAGTGTGGTTACTATAGGAGAAAAGTTAGTAGCTTGACCCTGGCATGGCACTGAACCCTTGCCTGTCAGAGACCCTGTCTCAAAAAGACCCCCAAAAAAAAATTAAGAGCATGTCACCTAATGTCCTTCAGGAAAGTTTGACAATACCTTAACACAAAGATTAAATTTAGGGGAAGAAAAAGCATTGTATCATTTGTAGATGTTGTCATATAAGAGATGACATTTCATCCCAGGATCTCAGCAAAACCAATAGGCAGAAAGTATACAAAGTGAAATATATGGGGTGGGTTCCACATTCAAGAGTATGGCAACACAATTTGGACTTGGTAGGAAAACAAAACAAAACAAAAAACACCAAGTTGGGGAGCTGAGTGAGTAGAGAGGTGGGGTGGATCTGGGAGTAGTGGAGGGAGGGGGAATATGATCAAAATACATTGAATGAAACTAAAGAATTAACAAAAAATGTTTTTTTACCAAAAGAAGGAACCACAGATCATTAGAAAAAGGAAAGATAATATGTTAAATGATTTTTGAAATAAATGCCAGTACTTGAAGATTGGATACAAGTTAGAGTTAAATTTTGAAACTTAAGCCTTTAAGAACAAAACAGAAAAATCATGCTGTATATTGCATCTCTACAAATAAAAAGAACTTCCAAAGCATAGGTTTATTGGGTGGGGAAAATGTCACAAATGCAAGCATCCTAAGGTTCTGGATTTTAAAACATTCCTAAATTTAAAGCTATAGTATTTGTAGCCAACATATTTCTTATGTGAAGAGCTCATATGATATACCCTGAAAGAAGAGACACAACTCATGAAGGAAGTGGTCAGAGTTCTATCAAGGTCAAGTAAAAAAGAACTGACTAAAATACGCCTATGCTTATGCAACTGGAAAGAAATAGAAGTGGTTTGACAACAGAGGATATTCAACTATAATTTAATGTGGGTCAGAGTGGATGAAGAGTTTCCAACATACTCATGAAGTAAAAGACCTGGACAAATTGCTAAAGAATATGACTGGTTTAAAAAAAGATGAAAAAGTGTCACATTGGTGACCTAGGCAATGGATACTTAAACCGAACGAGGTACTATGGTTTTGTTTTTGGTTTTCAGGTTAAAACCTTTTTATGTGTTCATCTCTGTTTCTGGCTACCGTGCAAAGGATTCATAATGCCTCTGCACCGTGTGCCAGTGTAAATCTGTATGCCACTTTGGAAAGTCTGTTTGTGGGGAGGGGAGGCTGGAGAGATGGCTCAGCAGTTAGGAGCACTGACTGCTCTTGCAGAGTATCTGGGTTCAATTCACAGCACCCACATGGCAGCTAACAACCATTTATAACTCCATTTCCAGGGGATCCAACACCCTCTTCTGACTTCCAAGGGCGTTGCACAACATGGGTGCGCTTTCACATATGCAGGCAATAGACTCATACACATAAAATAAATATAGTAAAAATAAAATTTTTAAAAAGAAACTTTTTGTTCTGTCTTTACTGCCTAAGTGGATCAAATATTTTTATTTGATGAGAACTATGAGGAAGTATATGTTAGTAAGTTAAATTCAAACTCTAGCATTATACCCTTAAAAGCCTAATATTAAAAAGTACTTCAAATTAAAAATCACTGAAATTAAAGACAGGTAGAATAAACAATTGACTGTTTCATGGGTATGTTAATATACTTTCCAAGAGGATTTTGTTTGGTAGACAATTATAATTAATTGCAAAATCCCTTGAGTAACTTACATATTTAAGCCTTATTCTAAACCACGAGTAAATAAACAGTGATACACTTATGGTGAACACGGCAGGGTAGACAGTTGGGCTCCCTGTCCCATGGAAGCATAATCTGTGATAATGAATGATGGAAGTGGCTTTTAAATGTGGGACAGAATGAGCTATTCCATCACTCATGAAGTTATCTATTCAGAAAATGTCTATGGAAGGCCAGCCATTAGCTTAGATGCCAGGGATACAGCAGTGAACCGGGTAGATGTCTTCATGGAATTACCTTCTAGTTGCCAGAGATACTGAGTCGAAATAAGTAAGAGATGGTAAGGAGAAATGTAAAACAAGGAGGTAGGACATTGTACACGATTCCATTGGGTCTTGGGGTAGGAAGGGATTTATATCTAGCTTGCAGCAAGTAAAGAACTACAGGCTAGTAGTTTTCTTTATCACAAAAACCAGTGTGGCAGAAGATTTTAGCAGTTCTAATTCATACAGTAGAATACTGAAGTAGCCGGTATATATCTAATAACATTTTAGTTATCAGGAAACTACAAACTCACAGTGGGGTGCAGCCTTCATTCCTCAGATTGACATGATTTATGTTTAATATCTGTTTTCTGTGAATTTAGGGAAGATGATTGCTTACATATATTATAGATTTATCTGCATATTGGTACTTCATTTTAAAGGATAGCTTAAGAGTAGCTTTCAAAATGAAAGTGACACACCAGGAATTCCACCACTTGGTTCTATCCCCAGGAGCTCTTGACTGTCCACATAAGGAGGTATGGTAGCGCAAGGTCAGTTGTAACAATGAAACTTTGAGAACTGCGTCAGTGCTAGAAAAATACATGTGTGCCGTGGAAATGCTAGTGCTGATGGACCTGCAGTCCAGGCTGAATTTACCAGAGGGCATTATAGACATTGAATGGGTGCTCGTGGTGTGAGAAGAGACCCCACAACTGTTTCTAGTTCTTTCTACTGTAAAAAAAACATAATTGTGATGTTTGTCAGAGAGATCTTTAGCTTTAGCCTTATCTCAAATGTTTTTATTAATGTTTAAAGAAATTTGTTTATTTAAAGGGATAGTATACATAGAGATGACAGACCGTTCTCCCTGTCCTTCAGTTTAGGGCTCTTCAGGCACTGTCCTCATCCACATTTACAGAAGGTCACTTACCTGGAGCTTGAGAAGTGCTCTTTACATAAGGTCTTGATGCTATTGTTACTGTTTTGAGTGTTTTGACTTACAGGTCCCTTTGACAGTGTAGGGCCTACCTAGTTTTTGTTGTTTTATTACCACGAAGACAAAAGAAGACCTTTCTTGATTAAAAAAAAAAAAAAAAAAAAAAAAAAGTGCACCATGATGGCTCTCGGGTGCTTTCAATGAGTTTTTTGTGTTCTTTATAAGTAAGACTCATAGAAAATCAAAAGTTTTAATTTACTCAAATACTAAATTACTAGGCAAAATATTTTAAATATTGGGTCACTTAGAAGGAAATTTAAAAGTGTATTTGTTTAGCTGATTCCTGTCTTGCAAGATGGCAGATAAAAAAGCAAGAAGCTGGGCGCAAAGGAGAAGCTTGGAGCAAAGAAAGCATGCTGCTGCCTGTTTAAAAAGAATCAGCCTGAAGCCAAATACTCAGGAATGGGGCGCCAAGCTGCAGCCAACCCTGGCCTCTTAGAACTGGCAGCTGTCCAGCCATGTGCTCCAGAAGGCCCTGCAGAAAAGGGAGTACTCAGCTGCCAAGTCCAGGGCTGGAAAGAATAAGATTTGCAGAACGAGTTGTTGGGGCAAGAGTGGTTAGTGCCCCGGGGTGTACAGTTAGAATGCCGAGGTATTATCCTGCTCAGGATCTGATGCAAACGCCCCCTTAGCCCACAGTAGGGCTGTGCCTGCACCACTTCTGGTGGCCTCTGTCTCAGCAGTACGCACTTCCAACACGGCTGCTCCCTGAGCCCAAACAGCAGCATCACAGAGCGTTGTTGGGGAGAGAAATACCAGATAATCAATGGAGCAGCCCAGGCCCATCAGAAAGCTGTGGAGTCAAAATTTTCCCAGAAAATCAAAGCCACTCCTCAGCCAGTGTGACAACACAATCCATTTTTGTTCTAAAACAGAATTTCCCCTCCCAAACTGGTGTTCTAAATTTCTTAACCAAGAACCTAGTTCAATAACCGGTGCATGCTTTTAAAAGTACAGTTGTTGAAATGAACGTCTTTTTCTTTTGTAGGCCGTTTGTATGCTATGCAAACTGGGATGAAGATTGATAGTAAAACTCCTGAATGTCGTAAATTTTTATCAAAGCTAATGGATCAGTTAGAAGCTGTAAGTTAAATGCTAGCAGTTTATTATCTGATTGTTTTAAATGGCATTTTGTTTTATGTGTTTATGCAAGTGTTTGTGGTCACTTTAGGCCTAACCCTAGCAACACTTAGTAATGTCATTATACTACTTACAGAAACACGAAGAATTTGAAAATTCACACTGTATACTGGGACAGTTACAACTGTAACCAGGTTCCATTATCTTTGCGTATATATTTTTTTAATGTTCCTTGAAGTCACAGTTTTTTGTTTTTTGGTTTTTTAAAATATTTTATTTATTATTTTTATTTTATGTGTGTGCACGTATTGCCTGCGTGTAGGTAAGTGCACCGTGTCGTGCAGTGCCTGCGGAGGACAGGAGAGGCTGTCAGATCCCCTGGAACTGGGGTTACCAGCAGTTGTTAGCTGCCATGTGGGTGCTGGGATTCGAACCCAGGTCTTCTGCAAGAAAAACTAGTGTTAACACTGAGCCATCTCTCCAGCCCTGCATATTACATTTTGTGTCTAGCTTTTTGCTCATCCTTTCATAAACAAAGAAACCTGTTTCCCTCCTGTGCTCACATGGATAATTGATTAGGAATTCTAAAGTAACTCTTACTAGAATTAAATGGGCTATTCAGTGAACGAATGGAATCATGAAGGAAATGGTATCAATTGCTTATTCTCTTTTCCTCCCTCTCAATTCCAGGGCAGGGTGGCAGACATCCTCCTCTCCTCCCAGGACTGTGGTAGCTGACTAATAAGTCACAGTCTTAAACATGATCAAAAAAAATGCAGGTTACTGTGGAGTTGGCTATTGAGGGAAAATTGGTTTGATTGGGTACAGTAAGTAAAGAATGTGATGCCAGCCATAGTAGCCTTAGCAATCAGGGTTTTACATTGTAACTCCAGTTCCCAGCTGTCCTGGAGTCCTGATTCCTGGTGAGTGTGCAGGTAAGCCAGTACGCAGTGTTCCTCCATGGTTTCTGCTCCACCCACCGAATGGATGCTGGGTCCTTTGTAAGAGCAGCCATGGCCTTAACTGCTCAGCCATCTATCTATCCAGCTCCTAATAAAAGCAATTTTAGCCAATAATACAGTTACACAAATCTGATATTCCTAAAAATCATTTTATTTCAGTATGGCAATCCTAGAAAAGAAAAAAATAGAAGCTGTTTTGCTTTTAAAATATTTCAAATGCTGTTTGTATAGTGGAGGGATATACAAACTGGAAAGCTACATATTTGTAATTTTATATTTATTTGAGATATATATGTCTAAATTGAAAATAATCTGATAATGAGTTTGTATCATTTTATACCTTTCTTAGAGTAGTATGAAATCTCCTTTATACATGTTCTAAGAGATACTGTTAACACAGTGATGCTTCTATTATATATATAATGCAAATTGAAGTGGTAAAAAATTAAAATTTTAAATTTTGTGCTTGAAGTTTCTAATTCCATGTTGGGGGATGCTTAGGATAATCTTTAGAAGGATTTGGCTTTTTGCCAGGATACTTAGACATGCTGTCTTTTTATTTTTAATTATTTTAATCTTTATAGCTAATTTATACTTAAGTGTGAGCTGTGTTAAGAATTGGGCTTTTAAGATTGAAACATTTCAATGAGGTACTTTTGTGAGATTCAGTGTTATAGCTTTTATTGAAATGAATGCAAAATAATTTACTTAAAGGGGTTATTGGGATTATTTGTGCTTAAATAGACTTCTGAGGATACAAAATCATAAGCTGTATGTCTGGTCTTACTTTAGCTTAAGAAACAATTGGGGGATAATGAAGCTGTTACTCAAGAAATAGTCGGCTGTGCCCATTTGGAGAATTACGCTCTGAAAATGTTCTTGTATGCAGACAATGAAGATCGAGCTGCCCGCTTTCACAAGTAAGAAAATAAATATTTTCAAAGGTCAGCTGCTACGTGACCAGAATTCCCTAGTTTCCAGCTGAGTGCTTTCTGACTACCTGAGTTTTGATTCCTACAGTTTGAAATTGTAAGCCCACAGTTGTCTTTAGGTCACAAGTGTGGACCTTTCTTTTTAAAGAGAGCTGAAAGGACTGCCAGTGGAAGGCTCATCTTCTCAGTAGTCACCCTAATCAGCCACCCCTGAAACTTTAATAAAAATCTGAGGTGATTTTAGCCAAATGAAGCTTGTCTAAATGATGCCAAATATAAAAACATACCAGCCAGTGCCAAGCCAGATGTGGTAGCATACATCTATGATCTTAGCATTTGGGAGGTGGAGAGAAGAGGATCCTGTGAAGTTCAAGGCCATACAGGGCTGCATTGCAAGACAGTGTCTGGGGGGAAAATATGCTGTGCCAGCCAATTCAAATAGTCATTATTAATAATAGTCAGGAGCATACAATACATTATGCTTTCATGTAGTTAGACTCAGGCAATTCCCTATATTCCTAAATATAAACTGCAAATGCAATAAAACCTTATTTTAGCATATTTACTTAAAATGTGTTAGTTTCTTCTGATAATCTTAGCAGTCTAATTATATTCTTGAAATTCGATTTTATTTTTTACATTTATTTCAGTGTTTTTAAACATTGAATTATTTTTCCTACAAACACATGACTATATTTTCATGTTTTTCATTTAAATGACAGCACCTCTCTTTTCTCTTCCAGAAACATGATCAAGTCCTTCTACACTGCAAGCCTTTTAATAGATGTCATAACAGTATTTGGCGAACTCACTGATGAAGTGAGTGTACAGTCTTTACTGTCTTATTAATTGAAGATGAGTAACGTTTATCACTTTCCTTACTATGTTATTTATTTAGAACAGTGTGTCTATCAGTAGTGTAATAGAAACAAAAACTATAATTTAAAAAAATTTCTATCTACTTTTCAAAAGTCAAATGAAGCAGAGCTGTTTGTAATGTTGTATTCTTCCTAATCACTTCTTTCCATCCAGCACAGATTCATTCCACGCTCCATCATGCATCACTACTCTCTTGTCCAGCACTTTAGAATCCCATCTTCTTAAGTGTTCGTGTGTTTTTACCCTTACTTGGTAAGCACAGTAGAAGGAAGGACTTTCTACGATCATTGTCCTTGTTTTATTCTAGTCAGAAATAATATTGTCTCATTGTTTCTGGGGTAAATTCCATCTGGGACTTGGTATTTTGAGAGATACTAAAGACCTGCTTTGTCGTTGGCTTCTTGTAGTGACTCAGTGAAGCAGAACACAGTCATTTTGTTGTACACAGCAGCAGTGTGGGGTTATGAATGGAGGCAGAAACTGGTTGCCCTCTGTCTTCATAATGTGAGAATTTGAGTCTTCTAATTTGGGGTTCAGAAAGAGCTTTGAAATTTCAGCCTTTTTCAAAAAGGCCACTGGTTCATGAGTACATTAGTGTGATTTTTTTCTAATTTTTTGGTTTTTTTTAATATTTTATTTATTTTTATTATTTTTTTTTTATTTTATGTGGATGAGTGTTATGCCTGCATGTAGGTAAGTGCACTCGTGTCATGCAATGCCCACAGAGGACAGAAGAGGCTATCAGATCCCGTGGAACTGGAGTTACAGATAGTTGTTAGCTGCCATGTGGGTGCTGGGATTTGAACCCAGGTCTTCTGCAAGAACAGTCAATGTTCTTAACCACTGAGCCATCTCTCAAGCCCTTGTTTTCTTGTTTTGATCTTCTACTCCATCATCCATTCTCCTCTTGTCAGTGTTTTTGGTTTGGTTTTGTTTTAAATATTTATTTTTATTTTATTTGTATGAGTTTATTGCTTGTATGTGTGTAAGTGTGCACGTGTCATGCAGTGCCTGCAGAAGCCTGAAGAAGGTCTTGGATCCCCTGAAACTGGCATTACAGATGGTTGTTAGTTACCATGTCGGTGCTGGGAACCAATCCCAGGTCCTCTAAAGAGTAGTCAGTGCCCTTAACTGCTGAACCATCTCTCCAGCCCCAATTGTCAGCATTTTATTGAAGAATCACAGGCCCTGAAAGCCTAGTCTCCTCTGCCAAATTCCCAGGCTTTCTCTGATGATCCATACATAACTATACTATCTGCCAGTCCCTGATTGTGTGTGTAGACCTGTCTGTTCACCATCCTGTCACTTCGCACTTCAGGGATTTGTTTTTATACTGCTTTGCCTGAGTTTTCCTTCTCTTCAAGCCCTAGCTACCTTATTGTAGCCCTGCTAAGAATTTTTCCTTTTCAGGATCTCTTCAATCTAAATTAGAGTCTTTTAAATGAGTGATTGTTACATTGTGACTAGATTAACTTTGTATTATTTTTAGGATTAAATCACTCTGCAAATACTCAGAGAAGACTGTCTCTACTGTTGCTCTGTCTTTGGCGTTAAGTATAATTTGTGCTCTAAGTAAAATATCAAAACAAAAAAAGTGACTGGTTAGTTAATACTTGAAATGTTTGTGTGGTTAGTTTTTCACTTTTCTATCTGTAGATGAAAATAATATTTAGATGTGTCTACACAGAGCTTCTTTCATAAGTCTTCTCTAAGTGGCAAGATCTCACTTACTCATAGCATTTTTCTTGGTCCAATTCCTGATATTTTTTTCCCTTTCCCTTTCATGTCATTACTCAGAGTTTTACAAAATTAAACAAAGTCTATATTTTCTTTAGTCTCGACTGCCTTTTTTCTTGTTTTGCAGTTTCTAAGATATGCTTTCCTTGCCCCTATTCTGTTTCTCAGCTCTGACCTGAGATATATGTTGGTATGTCAACTTCTGATTTTTTTTGTTGTTGTCCCTGTAGCCCCAGCTGGCCTGGAACTCAGTATGTGAACCAAGCTGGTCTTGATCTCATAGAGATTTGCTCACCTTTGCCTCTGCCTCTCGAGTGCTGGGATTAAAGGCGACCACCACAACACTTTCTGATTTTCTTTTGAGTTCTGGGAGTCAAGGTCTTACTTTTAAAGATAGAGTCACCACAGTATGCATTACTTTTGGGTCTCACTTTGTAGCCTAGGCTAGCCTGGAGCTCACGTCAGTCCTCAAGCTCAGTGCTGGAATTACATATTTTGTGTTTTAAAGAAAAGGCTATCAAAATACAGGTATCTTACTTTCCTTCTCTAATAGCTCGTGTAATCTATGTGGCAAACATTATTGAAAGGCTTCCTTTTAGTTTAGCATTTTATGTTTACTTCACTATTAGCAAGTGTTTGAGAAATAAGTGACATTGGACCTTTTCTTTCCTCCCTAATATGAATTAAAATATAAAAATTACAAGTAACATATATTGGTGTTATTTTATTGTCTGTACTGGTAAGAGGTATTGAATTAATATGATTTAGTGTTCCGCTTCCGTAAAGCTTGTGTGGTGATACACTGTATTAATGATGAAGTTAAGGGAAGGAGTCCATTTGCAGTACCCACCTGTGGCCTGGCACTGTGTTTATACCCTTTACATGACTGACTTGTGTGAGAAGATGGGGACGTGAAAACCCTGTCCAAGTGCCTTGGGTCAGAATAGCGTTTCTCAAACATTAAAGATTCAGCCTCTTTAGTTATTTAATTTCTCATCCTTTCAGATTTTTTTGTTAAAGGGTAAGTAATGAATGACAAGAATGAGACTTTAAAATGTTGTTCAAAATAGGAACCTGATCACTGAGTTATAAATGTGCTCTCGATCTCTGTACTGTTTATATAGTAGGGTTCATATCCTGTGTTCAAAGTACTAGAGTCAGAATTGTTTCATATTTTGAAATACCTGCAGTAGACTACCATTTGAGCATCCCTAATTTGAGAATCAAAGTTCAAGATACCCTAGTGTGCTATAGATAGAAATGTTTTTCAATAAATGAAAATTTTGATGGAGACTATCATAATCAATCCTATATATTTACTTTACAAATATTCCAAATTCAATAAAAAATGCCAGGCGTGGTGATGCAAAACTTTAATCCCAACCCTTGGGAGGCAGAGGCAGGTGGAACTCTGTGAGATCAAGACCCTGTCCAAAAAAAAGTAAAACTATTGTCAGATACAGAACTGATAATCCCCATGAACCCCAACTAAGATAAATACAAAGAAAAATACACCCAGGACATCAAATTCAAACCAGTGAGATCCACTGGTTAGGAGAGAAAACGTAGAATAGGTAGTAAGTAGTCCTGGTAAACAGCACATTATACACAGGAGACCTTGTTTTGTAAGACTCTTGATTTTTTTTTAAAGAAAGGAAGCCAGAAAGTAATGTAGTTTAAAATACAAGTGCTAAAAGGAAGAGAAGAAAACGTTCCCACAGAATTCTGTCAATAACAATGTTAACTTTAAACAATGAATATAAATAAGTGATATTTCTAGGCAAATTAATTCATCAATAGCAGACCTCTACTAAAATAAATTGAGGGGAAGGATTTCAATTTACAGGAAGGTTTGAACACTGGGCTTAGTAATATAGGTAAGTGTAACAGACTGTATGCTTTCTTAATTTTTCAAATATATGATATCTAAATAAAAACTATTATAATATATATAATTGGTGAGCCTAAAAGGACAAGGAAGAGGAAGAAAAGGAAAACAAAAGAAAATGTAGAAAAAGTCATTTACTTCAGAGTTCTAAGTAAACAAAATTCCAAGTAGCAGTATAAAGTAAAATAAACTCTAAGAATATATTTCTGAGAGAGAAATGAGAAATTTCATAATAGTCAAGGGATTGGTTCATCAAGAAAACATTACAGTTACACTTAAGATTTTCAAATTATATGAAATAAAAATTGACAGAAAAAAGATATTTTAGAATTTATAATTATTGAAGATTTAGCTCAGTCATTGATAAAATAAGTAATTTCAATAGTCACTAAAATTAACAAATAAAAACTAGCCACTCAAAATTTATCTAGTCTAGTTATCTAGACTTTTCATGTTTTGCCTGGTGGATATGTTAGATGTTAGAACCACTTTGGGAAAAGAATCGGCAGATTTTTTTGTAAAGTTAAACACACGCCTACCCTTTAACCCAGCAATTCCTTTTCTGGTCACTATCCAAGAGAAATAAAAACATATGTCCAGAAAAAAAGCTTGCTCATAGGAAATTTACTCATAATATCCAAAAGCTGGAAACAACCCAGATGTCTACCATCTGGGCATTTGTACTGTTATTTAGATATAAAAAGGAACTACCAAGTGATGTAGCCTAGAATATAGATAAATCTTACAGAAATGCTGACAAAAGAACAACCAAATAATACACTATGTATGGTTGTGTGTGTGTGTGTGTGTGTATACTATGTGTATATATACACATATGTATATATACTATGACAAACCTAATTTATTCCAATACGAAAATAGAAAATAGTTTTAGGGGGGCAAGGGAAATTGGTCTTGAAAAGGATATAAAGGAGCTTTCTGGTTAGCTTATTTCTAATTATCATTATGCTTATTGGTAAGAGTATGAGTTTATACCTTTAGGATTTATGCATCTTAAAATATCAATTTTACTGTAAAGTGTTCAGTTTTGAAGTATTCATAGGTTGGTTTGGGATCATTTGCGAGTTCTAAACATACTTGTTCTCTGCATGAGGACTGAGCAAGTGAGAAAATACATTGAGCAAAGCAGGTTTCTTACATTTGAGAGGTTAAAATAGAAGAGGAGTAAAGACTATTGTGTTGTAAAATTACAGCGATTGTAACTCATGCTCTTGAATAATACATTAGATCATTGATATACATATGTGTATTTATGTATGCTGATTTATTTATATGGTATGCATGTTTGCGTGCA